GTTGGCTGATGTTTAAACATTCACCAATACTGACTGATTCAGAAAGTGCCCCTTGACCGCGTTATCTATGAAATATGAAAATCAAACAGACCCCCCTCCCCGTCTTGTGATCTCCTGCCAGTGGATCGTCCCCACATTATGCAACCCACCTCCAGTTTGCCGTATTGCCTTTACGGTATCTCAGCCCAGCTGATGATTTTCTAAGTGCATCGCAAGCCTTGTGTTGCAACATTACCTTTCAGTTTTCTCACAGGTTGTACAAATAAAATAGTGTGAAGTATAATACCTGGGTTGTTGCTGAAGGTTAAAAGCATAGGAGGTTGAGAAGGACATCGTGGTCTATTGGTTTTGCCCCTTTTTTGTGGCTGAGAAGGACAATACTGGCCATTGCGTTTGCCCCTTTTTTTGTAGCTGAGAAGGGCAACATGGTTCACCGGGTCTGCCCCTTTTTCTGTGGCTGAGAAGGAGAACATGGTCTATTGGTCTTGCCCCTTTTTTTGTGGCTGAGAAGGACAATACTGGCCATTGGGTTTGCCCCTTTTTTTGTGGCTGAGAAGGATGACATGGTCCATCGAGTCCGCCCCTTTTTTTTGTGGCTGAGAAGGACAACGTGGTGCATCGGGTCTGCCCCTTTTTTTATGGCTGAGAAGGACAACGTGGTGCATCTGGTCTGTCCCTTTTTTGTGGCTGAGAAGGACAACATGGTCCATCAGGTCTGCCCCTTTTTTTGTGGCTGAGAAGGACAACGTGGTGCATCAGGTCTGCCCCTTTTTTTGTGGCTGAGAAGGACAACATGGTCAATTGGGTTTGCCCCATTTTTTATGGCTTAGAAGGACAACATGGTCCATCAGGTCTGCCCCTTTTTTGTGGCTGAGAAGGACAACATGGTCTATTGGGGTTGCCCCATTTTTTATGGCTTAGAAGGACAACATGGTCCATTGGGTCTGCCCCTTTTTTGTGGCTGAGAAGGACAACATGGTCTATTGGGTTTGCCCCTTTTTTTATGGCTGAGAAGGGCAACGTGGTTCACCAGGTCTGCCCCTTTTTTTGTGGCTGAGAAGGACAACATGGTCCATTGGGTCTGCCCCTTTTTCTGTGGCTGAGAAGGAGAACATGGTCTATTGGTCTTGCCCCTTTTTTTGTGGCTGAGAAGGACAATACTGGCCATTGGGTTTGCCCCTTTTTTTGTGGCTGAGAAGGATGACATGGTCCATCGAGTCCGCCCCTTTTTTTTGTGGCTGAGAAGGACAATGTGGTGCATCAGATCTGACCCTTTTTTTGGGGCTGAGAAGGACAACGTGGTGCATCTGGTCTGTCCCTTTTTTTGTGGCTGAGAAGGACAACATGGTCCATCAGGTCTGCCCCTTTTTTTGTGGCTGAGAAGGACAACGTGGTGCATCAGGTCTGCCCCTTTTTTTGTGGCTGAGAAGGACAACATGGTCTATTGGGTTTGCCCCATTGTTTATGGCTTAGAAGGACAACATGGTCCATCAGGTCTGCCCCTTTTTTTGTGGCTGAGAAGGACAACGTGGTCTATTGGGTTTGCCTCTTTTTTTGTGGCTGAGAAGGGCAACATGGTCCATTGGGTCTGCCCCTTTTTTTGTGGCTGAGAAGGACAACGTGGTCTATTGGTTTTGCCCCTTTTTTTGTGGCTGAGAAGGACAACATGGCCCATCAGGTCTACCCCTTTTTTTGTGGCTGAGAAGGGCAACATGGTCCATTGGGTCTGCTCCTTTTTTGTGGCTGAGAAGGACAACATGGCCCATCAGGTCTACTCCTGTTTTGTGGCTGAGAAGGACAACATGGCCCATCAGGTCTGCTCCTTTTTTGTGGCTGAGAAGGACAACATGCTGCATCTTGTCTGCTCCTTTTTTGTGGCTGAGAAGGACAACATGGTCCATCAGATCTGTCCCTTTTTTGGGGGCAAAGAAGGTCTGTGGCCCATTGGGGAGATTTGAGTATGTCTATGCCATACCTGATGGGCCACTGGGGATCCTGTAGTATCTGGAGCTGTGACGGCGCCATCTTCAGGGTCCTGAATGTAATTTACATTATAAAAAAACTAGATGTTCTCTGAATGGCCGCTGCGCGAGCGAGTGACCCCCCCCCCCCCCCCCCTTTTCAGAGGAGA